AGGTCCTCTGCCTTTTGATTTCTCTGTTTGGAAAAATCTTACCAGTTTAAACTTGTCACACAACAGATTCAATGGCACTATTCCTAGCTCAATTTCTGGTTTGAGTCATCTTAGTTCACTGAATCTTGCTAATAACTCACTTTCTGGTAATATTCCTGATTTGCATTTGCCCAACTTGCAGCTACTGAATTTGTCAAACAATAATCTTATAGGTAAAGTGCCAAAATCACTTCAAAGATTTCCCAAGAATGTGTTCATTGGTAATGATGTGTCTTTACTTGACTATACTGTTTCAAATTCTCCTGTTGTTGTTTCTCTGCCTGAGCTACCAAATCCAAAATCCAAGAATGTTAGGAAATTGAGTGAGAGGGCTTTGCTTGGGATAATAGTGGCTAGTAGTGTAATTGGGATTCTTGGATTTTGTTTCTTGTTGGTTGTTTGTTGTTTTAGAAGAAAAAAAGAAGATGGTTTATTTCCTGGTAAGATGGAGAAGGGAGATATGTCTCCCGAGAAGGCGATTTCGCGGAGTCAAGATGCTAATAATAGATTAGTTTTCTTTGAGGGTTGTAACTATGCATTTGATTTAGAAGATTTGCTTAGAGCTTCTGCTGAGGTATTGGGAAAAGGCACTTTCGGTATGGCGTATAAAGCAATATTAGAAGATGCTACCACTGTGGTTGTGAAGAGGTTAAAGGATGTAGGTGCCGGGAAGAAGGAGTTCGAGCAACAAATGGAGGTGGTTGGAAGTATAAAACATGAAAATGTCGTTGAGCTTCGAGCATATTACTATTCAAAAGATGAGAAGCTTACTGTCTCTGATTATTTCAGTGAGGGTAATGTTGCTGCAATGCTCCATGGTATTTCACTTTATGCACTCGCGAAATTTCATAGTTCTTAACTTTTAAACTCTGTCATATTCATACTGCTTTATTGTTTGCTTTGAATAGGTATATGAGTTAGTTTTGCAAATATGATTGTTAAAACCAGTTTTTTGCTATCCCTAAGTGATATCTCACAATCAGACATGTTAAAGGCCAGTCCGGTGCCGCGTTCACGCAGGGTCCGGGAAGGGTGATCTAGACAGCTACCCTAATGCAAGCATTAGTGGTTGTTTTCACGGCTCGAACTCGTGACCTATATGTCACATGGAGACAGCTTTGGCTCCCTTCAACATATAGCATTCGGACATGTTAATTCAGTGAAGAACATACAGCAAATCAGAAAGGCATAGAATCTTCTAATCTAAAAGGCCAACTAATATAATTTGTTGTGTTATGTTTGGGACAAAGATGTAAGTGGGAATCCACTGAGGTATATTGTAGGTTCCATATATTCTCTTTCCAGCTTAATAGTTAGTTGTCCTTAAAAAGTTTGGATGATCTTGGCATGTGGTTTAAGCATCTTTGTGGGGTAGTGAACTCCTTTCTCACAACATATTTAACTATACAAATCTTTGTCACTAGTCTTTCATTTCATCCACTAGTTGATTGAACTATTTCATAGCATGTGGATAATCATTTCTGATTTCTGTTCCCTTTTATGGTAAGTCAAAATAATTCATGATTTTGTCGAGAAGCTTACTTTTTTCCTAACTTTTTGTCCATCAAGCAAATATATATGATGTCAAATCTCACAAACAGCTAAGCTTTTTAGATAACTAGTAGGACCTGATTTAATTAAATAGAAGTCTAGAATAGTGAATCCTAAGCTATTGTCAACCTTATTCTGTATAGTATCTTTTACGAACATCACGACAGAATTCTTTGTGGTTATGTTTCTTTTTTACTCCCCCAATTTTGGTGTTAGAGCTAGGAGTTCTGTTGCCTTTCTCAAACCAAATGGAAGGAAATGATAACTTGTAGAGAGTCAATGGTTTAACTTGTACAAAGTCAATGGTTTAACTTGTAGAAAGTCAATGGTTATCTCCTTATTGTATTTTAGTTAAGCTAACCTAATATTTCATCTGAGTGTAACTTCGGCCAAAAGAAAAATCATCTAAGTGTGATGTGTAGCTTTTCATTAAGATGATGAGTTCTGCAATAGATGTTTTAACTTTTAAGTTTCATCAACCCAGGCATTCTGATTACTCTAATCTTCGGCATGTTATTCAATGATAACTAAAAAATGAACAAATGAGAGAACAGAGGATTGAACCCCCGATCCGTTGCTTCTGTTAAAAATGGAATGTTGGTACTTTGGTCTAATGGGGCACAGGTAGGTCACCTAATTACTGAAAATCTTGACTCTGATACATGTTATCTCCTTTTTTTATCGTCGTTTAAGGTAATTGGTATCTTTGTCATCTCTGTTTGATCACTGCATTACCTGTTATTGAGTAATGTTTTTGCTACTGGCTTGTTGACTATCATCTATGAATATACACCTTGTAGGTAAACGGGGAGATAACAGGGTCCCTTTAGATTGGGAAACTCGACTTAGGATAGCCATTGGTGCAGCGAGAGGTATTGCTAGAATACATGCCGAGAATGGTGGCAAGCTAGTCCATGGAAACGTCAAATCCTCAAATATCTTTCTGAACTCTAAACAATATGGTTGTGTATCTGATGTTGGTCTGTCATCAATAATGAGCTCGTTAGCTCATCCAGTTGCTCGTGCTGCTGGTTTTCGTGCCCCAGAAATAACAGACACCCGAAAAGCCACACAACCTTCTGATGTCTACAGCTTCGGCGTGTTGTTATTGGAACTCCTTACAGGTAAATCCCCCATCCATACAACGAACGGAGATGAGATTATACACTTGGTCCGTTGGGTTCATTCAGTAGTCCGAGAGGAGTGGACTGCTGAAGTATTCGACTTGGAACTATTGAGGTACCCAAATATAGAGGAAGAAATGGTGGAAATGTTACAGATAGCAATGTCTTGTGTGGTAAGGATGGCTGATCAAAGACCAAAAATGTCCGAGGTCGTTAAAATGATCGAGAACGTTCGGCCAACTGGCTTAGACAATCAGCTTTCATCTGAAGGCAAAACAGAAAATTCAACACCAAGAGCAGCCACACCTGTGCCTGAGACACAATCTGATACCCAATGAGCTACTCTAGAGCATTTTCTTTGTAGCCATTTTTATTACTGTTTACCATCTTAATTCATGTTTAAATGCTTACTTCACTCTCTCAGTGAACAATATGAATAGTTGTAACTTGATACTAGTTCATGGTTAGAGTGTACCAAAGATACTATTTTAAGGTATTCTTGAAATTGTACTCTGATTATAAATTCTAAGTTCTCTTTCTCACTCTCAAGATATTATCTTTTCCTTGTTCTTGATGCAGTGATCGCAAATACATGGTGTGAATGTTCAACAAATTCAAGGTGGGAGAAATTAAAAAATAGCCAAATTTACGAGTGGTAATTAAAAAATAGTCACAGTTTCAAAAGTAATCGAAATTTAGTCACTTTTCATGTAAAAGATAAATCTGAACAAAAACATTGTTCAAAATCCGGAAATATTCCAGCATAATGTGTTAGAGTTCGGATTTTTTACATATAAACTTCCAGTATAAGGAATTTCATAATGTGCTGGAGTTCCAACACAATATGCTGGAAGTCCATACACAGGTGCTCCAATCTCTAGTATATTATGCTGGAACTTTTCGTGTGCTGGAATTCCAGCATAATATGCTGGAAGTTCATACACATGTGCTCCAATCTCCAGTATATTATATTGGAACTTTCTGTGTTGCTGCAAAATAATGACTATTTTTTAATGACTTTGCAAAGGGTGACTATTTTTTAATTACCAGTTCGAAAACTGGCTAGTTTGTACTATTTTAATATTCAAGGTTTCCAAAATTCGAAATGTGTGCGCTTCATAAAATATATACATGAATTAGGCACAATGTTCATTTTCTTACCGTCGGACAAGATATGTCAAGGAATTACACCTCTACTGCTAGAATAAACTTCATCTGATAGTAGGCTTTAAGTGGATTCTATGGATGGTGCACACAATGGAATCTTGAGCGCATGCAATGTGCAGCTATATTCATTGTTCTCGACTCGAACTATATATCTGTGTAAAGAATTTACTAGACGTTTATATGCATCCACAAATAAACGGCACTTAATTCGAACAGTACTAACCAAATTTTTTATCAACCTTTGATGATGCAGAGTTGTGATCTAACGACATAGATGAACTTATGACAATTATCTGAAGGTTCATTTTGTATGAGAAAATAGTTTGGTATTTTTTTGCTAAGAAATTTTTTATATGAACCTTGGGCCTTATATATCGGGCTCTTTAAGTTAGTCCAAGATAGGAGGGGTGACCTGTGTTTCAGAAAAAGTTCATATGGTTTCGTGGATATTAAACAATCGTGCGAGCTATAGATAGACAAACTAAGAACTTAACATAAATAACTAAATCTTGTCGCTTAAACTAAAAAATAGTCGATAAATATATAATTTAAGTATAAATCATATATAATCTGTGTATAATCCATGTCTATCTTAAAAAAATTAAGGTATGTTGAGTAATTACACCAAGGATGGTATCGTTATTTACTCTGAAGAAACGACCCCACAAACTACACTTTCCCTTTCTCTTATTCCACTTCAACACTATTTCTATTTTTCTTAAACTTTATTGCGATATAATCTTTATTACTCCATCTAATAATCAATCCAAAGCCTTTCGGTACAGAATTTTCTTTGTTATTTAAATGACGAATATATTCACATTTACAACATTAATTAAATCACTTAATCTTCACCCTATGATACTATTAAATACTACAACTAACATCTCCATATAAAACCAAAAACATTTTACTTTAAATTGTAACTTGTTCTAGAAGTAATAATTTGCGAAAAGAAAGAACATAAATTGGATGTATACTACAGTTATTGAAGAAATAAAGGGATCTAAGTGTAAAATGTTCAAACCATTTGGGGCGTAGCTGTAAGTCGGCCAACAGAGATACGAAAGCCTTTATTAAAACAAAGTTCTGAGTTCAACATTGTACTGTTCGCTTCTCAGAATCTGAAAATTGCATCTTTGTAGTTGAATCTCTCAGGTAAAATTTTCTTTTCTCTTCTTTCTCTTTCTCTAGTTGTGATTTTTTATACTATGCATGTCTTCTCTGCATGTATGTTTCTTCTATTGGAAAAATTATGTGACACAACAAATTAAACATATATTGTATATTTTATTTACTGTTTGTAGCAATACTTTGAGAAAATTACCATTCGTAGAGATAGTTGAATTTTATAGCAAATCTGCTTGTAGTACTAAAACAAGAAATCAATTAGTTTGAACTGTAACGAAAAAGCAACAAGCTCTTGTAGCTTAGTTGGTTAGAGCACAAGCTTAGTAAGTGAAGATCTTGAGTTCGACTCTCAATAATAATATTTTATTTTTCTGTATTTTTGTATTTCGCCTTGGTTGTATTTGTTGCGCGAACGAAATATTCATTGCGCGTTTGAATACAATTGAAAAATTCCTCTTTCTTTATTTACAGGTCAAACTCTCTATAATAGTCATCCTTTATAACATAACTTCACTATAATAGTCATATTTTCTTTAGAACCAATTATTCATGCTATGTTGTACTATATATTTTCTATAACAATACTTCGCTATAACAACCAAAAAATGTTCAGAACAACCGAGGTTATTATAAAAAAGTTTGACTTGATTTATTTATTTATCTATAGAGCTGATTTGGGTTATTTTACTTATTTTTTGTAGAGGGATTTGGTCGAGGATGGCGTCCAAGAGGATTCTAAAAGAGCTCAAGGATCTTGTGAAAGATCCTCATGTCTTTTGCACTCTTGGTTTGTTTCTAGAACCTTCTTTTCCTTTTACTTTGTCCTGAGGGCTTTGGTTTAATGGCAAGAGCGTAATATGTGATAATGTGAGCTAAATGCATGTACCAGGTTCAAACATGTAAATGTTTATTTGTAACCGGTGTTTACACCAAACCAATTAATTTAACTTTGGTAGTTAAAAATTGAAGTGAAATGGTTAAGTGATAAATGTGTGTACCGAATACGCATGTTTTGTATTTATTGATTTGATGTAAACATCGAGTGCGAATCCTGCCGTAGATGAAAAGTTGGTATTTAAGGGGAGAAGGTGGAGGGATGGACTTATTATTGCGGAGTTTGGAGTTTTGAACCATGCAATACTAGCCGTTGCAATTCTAAGTCATAAAAATAACCTTCTTTTCTTAGTTTGAACTTTTGTTTTTTTTCTTNTTTTTTTTTTTTTTAGAGGAATCTGTTAAAAATAGTCAATTATATGTAGTTTGTTTTGTATGATATTGGTTGGACCAAAAATGAGTGCCTTGTGGAGTAAATTAACTTGTTTGGCTTTTTGATGGTGGGAAGGGTCGAATTTATTTGAAGGTTATGTATGATCTTTTGGTGTATGAATTAGTTTTTCAACCTAAACAAAAAAAAAAAAAAAAAAAAAAAAAAAAAAAAAAAAAAAAAAAAAAAAAAAAAAAAAAAATTGGTCCTTGAAAATATTTGTTTGTTTAGTAAGGTTGGCAAAAGGAACATATAAGTCCGGTTTGGGTTGGGGAGGCTCCACGGGACAAGGTTCTAATGTTTGGAAATGAGGTAAATAGGGTAGACGTACGTTCCTCTTCCCCAGCTTACCATGTCGATGCTCACATAGGTGGAGTCAGGATTTCAAGTTTATTAGTTTGGGATTCTAGTTCTTTTAAGTTACTAGGTTCTTAACTAATAATTTCTACATATTTTTAGTGAATTCTTTAAGACAAATATAGGGTTTGGTTAAAGTTTCTGGATTCGTTTGAACCCGTAACATACAAACTAGCTCCGCCCCTGCATGCTCATGCTTGAAATTGTTTACGTTCTGGAAAATGGTTCTCTGGTTCTCTGTGCTTTTGTGTTTGCGCGCATTTTTTAGGCAAGCTGCTGTAGATATGCTTGCACTAAGCCTAAATGCCCAAATAACAAGTAAAAATGTGTCTTAAGGTTGCATTGAAGAGTTCTCTGATTGTTATGCTTTTGCTTCCTGTTGTTTGTATTTAGGTCCAGTTGCTGCCGACGATTTGTTTCACTGGGAAGCAACAATTATTGGTCCACCTGATAGTCCCTATGCCGGTGGAATGTTTCTTGTTACCATTCCCGGTGCACTGAGCTCCCGCTATGCGCGGGGTCCGGGGAAGGGCCGGACCACAAGGGTCTATCGTACGCAGCCTACCCTGCATTTTTGCAAGAGACTGTTTTCACGGCTCGAACCCGTGACCTCTTGGTCACATGGCAACAACTTTACTGGTTACACCATGGCTCCCCTTCACATGCTCATAGGCTCCTAATTGTTTAAATTGTGCAAAGGATTCTTTTCACAGATCAAAGAAGCTATCGTTTTTGTTTTCTTGGCTTGTAATTTTGCAGTATCATTGAGTTAACAAGTATATTTGTTCATGCTAATCTTCTAATGAATATACAGATATTTAAGCTCATTTGCTAGGGAGAGAACTGCTTACAATTGATATGAATAGTTGTCTGGCTTAGTACATTGGTCTAGAAGAAGTCCAATTTATATGTTAGATTCAGTTGGATAAGTACATTGGTATAGAAGAAGTTCAACAAATGTACCAATCAATCGACAACTATGCCTCAACTCCAAACTAGTCGGGCGCAATGGCGGAGCCACATGCGCCCAAGGGAGAAAATATGTTTATATACAATATAATGACACCCCTTAATGAAAATCCTGACTCCGCCACTGGTCGGGCGTTCAATGTGAAATTTTTTATTATGGGAGTTGGGTGTCCCCTGAAGAATGATTTCTGTAATGTCTTTGCATTTTCTTGTTTTTAAAAAAAAAAAAAAAAATACTCTTTTCCCTGGACAAATTTATATGACAATACGAGATAAATGTGCAGATAGCTTTTAGGACAAAGGTTTTCCACCCAAATATCAACAGCAATGGTAGCATTTTCCTTGACGTTTTGAAGGAACAGTGGAGCCCAGCGCTTACAATCTCCACGGTGAAGTTCATTTCCTGTTGTTCCCATTCTGATTTAATCTTTTGTTTTTGCTTCTTATTTATATGTTTTCCTGTTTTGCTGAGAACGTTGTCAAATGTTATTTCAATGGTGGATCGTGAGGACTTTTACGTCGATTATTTAGTTCTTGTTCTAAACTAACATAAGTGAGTCAAACATAGGAGATTAAAATACATTTACCTAATGAAACTCTAGCATCAGTTGAATTTCTTCTTTCTTTTTTTCTTTTTTGGTATTGATGGTGTTCGAGTTAACATGTTCACACGTCGACTATTACACTGGGTACCTGCTGCTTCCCACCAGCGCAGGTACCAGGTAACTTTTCCCATCAAGTCTTAGGCAGATGGGAATAAATTAGTTAGTGTTTTTGGCGGCTGATGTTCTTCTTTCTAATTCTTAAACTTAATATGTATTCAAGTTGTTCTTTGTTTTAAACATCTTTAAGCATAATCGATTGATCAAGTGCGGGCTGGCATGTTTATTTTTGTATTTGTTCGTTGCAAGGTGTTGATGGGAGATTGCCCATATGTACAAGACTGATAGAAACAGGTACGAAACAACTGCCAGGACTTGGACCCGAGCGTATGCCATGGGTTAGTTAAGAGAGTGTGATTTTGGGCATATTATCAGCGGTATGTTAAGAAAATGAAGTGTTTCTTATGCATAATCAGCTCAAGGAGAAAGGTTATGTTGTTGCTTCTTGAAACACTTCAATTTTGCTTTTTGGTTTGTGTTATGATATAACGGTTTTGTAACTCTATGGATGGGTTTAAATTAAGCAAGTTTGACCCTTTAAGTTAACTAGTTCTCGAACACGTGCTGTATTCCATGCTAATTAGTTCAGATATTTTAATAAAAATATTATAATTAGTGTATTGAGTTGCACAAAATTGAAGACAAATAATGCAAGCTCAATCTGATGAATGGTGAGCCTATTCAACTGATATTTATTATTATTGCAAGGCACAATCATACTAAAAAATTGCTATCAAATGAATTTCAAAAGTAATATTCAAATGACTTCAATTCTGTTAATTATTCTTATAATATCAATATATTCAACTTGATAGTAATTTATGTTTTTACTATGTGAACAACACATAATTTAAATGTCGGTTATGGTTACAAATATTTCATATAAAGATATTACATTCTTTTTAAGAAAATATAGTCTTCACCTTTTACAGCCGCATACATAACAAGAATATTATCGTATTATGAAATATAGCATAATCACGTGCCAGATGTTGCCATTGTGATATGTTTGTAATCCTTAAAAAATATACACTTATATAAGGATAAATAATATCTTTTCGTTTACAAATTTAAGTCTTAATAATCAGAAAAGAACTTGACAAACACAAAAGACATGAGAATAAATAATTACTACAATATGTGTTTGATAAGTAATACTTATGAAATTTGAAGAGTAAAACTACAAGCTCTAACTGAAGAAAAAATAATAAAGACATAAAATATATACCAACAGGACTAAAGGCAGTCAGTTGGAGTTAATAAAGCAAAATAATAATAATAATAATAATAATAATAATAATAATAATAATAATAATAGGAAGAAGAAGAAGAAGAAGAAAAAGAAGAAGAAGGAGGAGGAGGAGGAGGAGGAGGAGGAGGAGGAGGTTAGAAAGCTTAGCTCCCCGGTGGAAGATGAAAGAAATAAAACTGAAATGTGATCCCGCATGATAATTACGAAAATTTATAGCCTGCACTACTATTAGTATGGAAGATGAAAAAAACTAAACTGAAATGTGAAAACATTAGTGACTAATAATTAAGAAAATTTATACTATAATACCTAAGACCCTTTCTTTTTTCTATGGACAAAATGGTTTCAATAAACTAACTTTTGAGTTAGTAGGATATTTTGGTCATTTAGTTTTTGAATTGTACTTTAATAAAATAATTTCATCTAAAAGTTTTCATGCTTATAATATAGCATGATGATCTAGTGAAGTAAATAACTTAGTTTTCTGCTCATCCCTGGAATCCAGCATACTGTTAGCTTTTCTTTTTGATTTTTCCCTCTCAACTAATCCACCATAGTATTAGTTGAGAGGCTCCCAAAAGCTTAAATGATTGGGAACTTTACATAACCGTAAAGAAATATAACAACTTTGTAGCATTAAATCCAATATCACAGTTGTGGCATGAAAATATTTATATTTGTAGCACACAGTTCCATTAAAATAGGATTATTAATTATTATTCTCTAAACATAAGCAATTTGAATGAAAAGTCGATAATTCTTTGTACAAAAATCATGCCTTTTTTTTCTCTTTATCTATTAGCTTTCCTTCTTTTTCTTCATCTTTTTAATTTTATTTTTTGCCGAATCCAATATATTTTCTAAATTTGTTCTATTCGTTTTCTTTTTAATTATCTTTCTTAAGTTTTTCTCTTCCTTCTTTCTTCCTTTCTTAACATAAAGATCTTACTTCCATAATAATATACGTTAATATATTGAATTAACACATATAAAATATATAAAAAAATATACATAAAAAATACATCTTCAATTAAGATGACACTTAGACATGCGAAATATACATAAAAAATACATCTTCAATTAAGATGACACTTAGACATGCGAAATATACATAAAAAATATAGCTTAAATTTAATTAAGATGGCATATAAATATAGAAAAAACATATATATAAAAAAATACATCCTGAATTAAAATGGTACTTGACATATAAAATATATTTGAAATATATATTAAAAATATATCTTAAAATAATATGATACTTATCAAATAAATATACAAAAATTATATACACAAAAATACATTTTGAATTAAAGTGATACTTGATATACAAAGTATAAAAGACGTATAAATCAATATATCTTGAATTTAGGTGGCATTCACATATGCATCAGATTTTAAAAAATAGAGTGAAGAAGATGAATGTTGGGTTTAATTTTTTTAATATGCTAATAATGAAAAAAAAAAGTGCTCTTTATGAAATAAATAATAAATGATGCTAATTTTTAAAATAATAGTTAAAAAATGATCAAGTGTGTAAAAAAACTCTAAATGATTCCAAGCTTGAAGCAGCAGCCCAAATCCCAATAATAGAAGGGCCTAAATGACAAGCCCAAACATCTGTTATGGGCTAGTTCCGAACTTTTTCTTGAAGAAATGGCACCAGGTGACAACACATAATAGGAATTGATAATTTTTTAGCCTTATATTAAGTTTGGCAAAGAATAGCCAAATCCTAAAAAAAACTACTCTCTTATATATTCTCTCAAGGCCCCAAACCGTCTNTGACTTGTCTGTGCTTTAATCATTACAAATATGAAATTCAAATTAAATGTGTTCCGTTATAAAGGTCATATCTCATCTGACTTTCCTAGAACTTAATTTTGGGCCAGGCCCTGCGCCCCCCTCCCCCCCCTTCGCCGCTCACTTCTCTTCTTGTTCACCGTTTCCCTCCCCCTTTCTCACCTTATATTTTTTCTTCTATCTATTCTCATTCACTCTCATAGTTTAGCAAAAATTCTTGCAAATTATGTAAAAAAAATCAGTGGGATGAAAAGGTAAGGTTGATCTCACGTCAGAGAAAATCATAAGCAAAAACTAAGAGAGAAAAAATACATTTCAATTTTGTTTTTCTTCTCTCTTTTTTTTTTTTTTTGGTTGGATTGAATGAGTGGGTCTGATTGAAATTGGTTGAAAATACCTGAACGAGGTTATATAGGAATTTAAGCAAGATTAGAAGTAATTTAGACTGGTTTCACGTAAAAAAAAATCATACCTAAAAATCCAACTGCGACATGTATATATCACGTTGTATATCGTGTACATCAGTGTATATCATATACGGGTTTTTAAGGATGTATGTGTATATCACTTTGTATATCGTGTATACAACATAATTATTTTATGGACGCCCGTGTATATCACATTGTATATCGTATATATAACATAAATTTTCTTGGATATACACAGATACACATGACATACATGAGATATCGCTGATATACATAGAGATATACACGGGGTGCAATAGGGAATACACATGTGGAGTCGTCTTGAACTTGAGTTTTCAATCTAAAATGTGTTATACAAAGAAGTAAAATAAAATTTTAATATACTTTTTTCATATACACATTATTATTATGTTATACACTGTGATATACAAATAATTTAATTATTATTGTATTATATATATTTGGATATACAGATAAAAAAAGGTTGAAAAATAATTATAAAATATTTGAGAGTTTTTTCGGATACTACTAAAGGAAATGGAACCTAATTTTTGGGATGATGGTTGCTATGAGAGAAGAGAGAGAGGGTTTTAAATATTTTTCGCTATTTTTAAGAAAAATAATTTTGATGGGGCTTATTTTTAAGATGGTGGTTTAACCATTAGAAGAGAGAATAACTTTAGGCTACCATATGCCAAATCCTAAAACGTTTGCTTTTTTATGTCAATTATTGGACCTAGTTGTCATGCCATGCCAAATCCCCCTTTTTCTTCTTTCATCTTTTACGTACCTTGGTTATATGGAAAATATTGTGATTAGGAAAAATTACATAGTATAGCCGCTCCCAAAAACAATAGCCGGCAAAGTATATATATTTTGTATATTAACGTATGATATATCTGTAATATACATATTTTATACCGCTTAAAACTTACTTGGAAGGGATCCATGGATGACAAGGAAAGGTTATTTCGTAAGCTTCTGTTGCACTTAGGGGAAATGCATGTTTAAGTTTAAACTCATTGGCCGAGCCTACGTCATAATTTATGACAGTAAAAGCTACATCATAATTTGTTAGACCGCTATTTTTTCAAAATATATGGTAGATGAAACGTTATCCCGTTCC